CTCCCCGCCCCTCACAGAGAAAGAAAGAGCCGGAACAGAACAAAACAAAGCCCGTGCTCTTTGTGGAAGCGAGTCTGACACTGAGGACCCTTCTTCTGAGAGTCGAGCAGGCCGGTGAGCTGGGCCTGCTGTCCCCTGCAAGCGCCCTGTGCCCTCCCTGGAAGGGCCGGCACCTCACTCGGCCTCAGAACCTGCCAGTTAAGAGCACAGACTCAGGGGCCACACGGCCTGGGCTCACGTCACCGCTTGGCCAAGTAGTAGAAAACTTAACTGATGGCACAAGAAAAAAGGAATCCCTAAATGGAACTGTGAAACCTTAGCGCTGTCCCGGACTTTCAAGAAATGACAGTTTCCAGGAGCACGGACTGGGCCTGGCATCAAGGAGCCGGTCCAGGCAGTGCCCACATGCTTCCGTGTCCCTGCTGACCTGGTCCGCAGTCAGCTTCATCGCCGCGAATGCCACGTGGGGCATCAAAGCTCATCCTGGCCTATACCTGGGATCTCTGATCAGAGCAAGAGAAAAGCAGAAGGCAAGCACTTTGTGGCCTACAAACTTCGAGAAAGCCGCCGCAGCCCTGCGTGCGCACACTGCTGCCAGCCTAGCCTCCCCCTCACCAGCCTCAGGTAGGAGGAAAGCGATGGCCCCTGCTCCGCACGCTGGGAGCGGCCCCATACCCCCCATCCCCAGTGCCCTCCGGGCATGACACACTGAGGCTGCAAACGTGGGTCTTGGGGGCTGTGTTCTAGGCCAGGGGCTCCCAGCTGAGCTCCAGGGAGTCCGGGAGAAACAGTGCACGCGCGTGCATTTCAGGGGAGCCGGTCCTGAACATCCACCAGTATTTCAGACTGAGGACCAAGGCTCAAAGGGAGCCCTGCTGACCTAGAGCAAGGGTTACCACAGCACCTGGGGCTTAGACCTTCACCGCGGGTAGAGGAGTGTTCCTGGGGGGAGAGCCGGCACTTGGAAGATTCCAGTTAGATCATACTAGCACTTAACATGCCAGATCGAGATGTTCTACTTGCTAGTAAGGAAGATAAGGAACTCTTTAAGAACAAGGATAGGGTTGTATCCTCAGGGCGGAACTATCTGGCACATGGAAGGTGTTCAAAAAATATTTGTAAAATGATTACCTGTCACCACAAACCAACTTCTGAAATACTGTGAGCTGAAATCACTACCTGTATTTGTTGTGGGTTTTTTTTTTTTTTTTTAAATGTTTTATTTATTTCTAGGAGAGAGAGACAGCGTGAGCAGGGGAGGGTCAGAGAGAGAGGGAGTCACAGACTGAAACAGGCTCCAGGCTCTGAGCTGGCAGCCAGCACAGAGCCCGACGCGGGGCACGAACCCACGAACTGCGAGATCATGACCTAAGCGAAAGTCGGACGCTTAACCGACTAAGCCACCCAGGTGCCCCTGTGGGGTTTTTTTTTAACGTTTATTTATTTTAGAGAGAGAGAAAGAGAAAAAAAATGCTCACACGAGCAGAGGAGGGGCAATGAGAAAGGGAGGGAGAATCCCAAGCAGGCTCCACAGTGTCAGCACAGAGCCCCATTCGGGGCTCAATCCTGTGAACTGTGAGATCATGACCTGAGCTGAAATCAAGAGGCAGATGCTCAACCAACTGAGCCCCCAGGGGCCCCCTGGTTGTGTGTTTTAGGCTCCCTGAGCTAGCTTTAAGGAGCAGGAATCAACTATATATAATGTGCTTCGTGCTGTGTGTTTCAAGTTCATACTGGTAATAAACACAGTCTGGACTATAGATTCCAGGCTGGCACGGAGGACTGCACACGCACGCACACACATACACAGCAACCCTGGGAGCTGGGCCCCATCATCGCACTTTTGACAGGTGACAAAGCTGAGGCTCTGGGAGGTGAAGTAATTCACCAGTGCCACCAGGCAGGAAGCCACCTGAGGTAATACACACGGAAAGTAACAGAATCTAGAAATATCCCAGTCTTTCATGTTCACCTAATCGATTATTAATGCAATAGGGAAGGGATGTTCCATTCCAAAATTAAAATTAAAAAACACTTTTCTTTGAAAGTGACTTTTTTTAAAAAATCAGAACAAGGTATAATATTACAATTTGAGGGTTAAACAGACATACGCAGTAATATCAACTGACCATGAAGGAATTAATCTAATGACATAAAATGGAACCTTTAAAAGAAAAATGCACTGTACACGAAGAACCTGTAAGGCTCCGGCCATCGCGGCGCCTGCCCCACGGTGCTCCGGGGGCTCATCCGTGTGGAAGGACCTGCCCACCGGCTCCGAGGCCTCCCACACGGCCCCCCTTCCCCTGTGGGCTTGAGCTTCCCCAGCTACCCGTGGGCAGGGCCAGGCTGGGCAACAGGAACTCCTGTGGGGAGACCACCTTGCTCGCCTCTGACTGGTCTCTGGTGCCCTAATCCTGCACATGAGGTGTACTAGACATCCGACAGACACTAGGAGCACCTTTCTGTCCAGAACACAAAGCTGGGGACGCCCGCCTGCCCATCGGGAAATCAGCCCACTAGGTGTGCCTCGCACACCACCCACAAAGTTCTAAGCTACATTCACTTTTATGTCCACTCTCTCAAAGAGTTCCCTCGATGGTAAGTGTGAATTTATTTGCTCCGCTGCTGAGCGATCCATCCGGCAGTACAGTCATAAGAGGGGACGGACGCTGGAGAGACACCGGGGGCCCCTCTGCACTGCAACCCCAATCCAATATCCCCTCTGAACCCCAGGGACTCACTAGAGCCCCAACACGTGCCACCAGACCCCCCCCCCACACGTACCTTCCCCCTCCACATACCCCAGAGGACTCGGCTATAGCTACTGCCCCTACCCCCACTCTGGCCTTACGTGGCTTCACAATTTACACAGAATTCTGGCTGGTTGGCAGCATAAGTGAACCTATTTTCTCTATCAGTTCCCGCCTCAGGGTTCCCCCAGGGATCCCTCAGAGCTTTCACGGATGGACCTGGGACAGGAAGGTACGAGGGCAGGGCCAGGAGCCCGCAGGGCCTCACCCTGCGCAGCTTCCTGGAGATCCCTGTTGCGGCAAGACCCCTCACTGCAGCAGGAGTAGCCTGAGGGAGCACCAGCCTCGACCAGCTGGCCAGGAGCGGGCAGGACGGAGACCTTCCATCCCCTTCAGGTGTGTTCTGGGCCCTGCTTCCCCACTGACGACGGGGTCTAAACTTGTGCCCTATAAAGAAATGCTCCAAATGGCACTTTATGAACCAAGCTGCTGCTTCCCCGAGCCTCTTCTGTTTACTGAGATTAGGAGATAAAACGCTACGTTGGGGGAGTGGGGGGCGTTCTTCAGGCTGTGTGAGCTGGTCTCCCATTTCCATGTCAGGGGAGGGGCTGTACCCTTAGTGGCCGGAGGGGACCGCACCCTCTCAGTGCGCCACCCCTGACCCCAACAGGAGCTGACAGGAGCCTGGGACTCTGGGGGGAACATCCAGGAACCCAGGTCTCTGCTTCTCCTCACAGCACTGACCAGGGGACAGATTATGTTTACTTCTTGTCTGCTGCCTCGGAAGGATGACCTTGACCTTCTGTTTTGGATTCTCCATGGAAAATGGTCACCAAGAGAAGGGCAGTAAGAACACAGGACAGAGAATGACAGCTCGTTACTGGAATGGTAGAAAGGGTGACTTGGGGGACAGATGTGAAGGGCATCGGCCAGCGGAAATGGAGTCAAGGGCAAGGATGAAGGCTTGGGAAACCCCACCATGAGACCTTCCAGGAAGGCCTGCTCTGAAGTGGCCTGAGAGGAGGAGAGGAATTAGGAGGCAGTCCCAGCTCCTGTCTTTACTCAACACAGAGAAGAGCGGATCCCCCGTGTCGCATGGAAGGTAACCCGGCACAAATCACTACAGTGTGCACCTCTGCTTGGACAGAACACGGAAGATCCAAGTTTAAGGGCAGGGGTTGGGGGGGAGGGAGTGAGGGCAAGCAGTGGATCTAAACTTGAAAGCCCTTAAGTGGGTCTGCCCCAAAAGCCCCCTTTCTTCCCACTGGGCTATCATGCTTTTTCCCCAAATATTGATTCTGAAAACAGAGGGTTAATGATTTGTTTCCCAAAATGATTCACGACAGCAGCACACGCCCTTAGGCTGCTACTCTAAGACACTTGAAACGGGTCTGTGCCTAAAAGTCCCAACCACACATGGTTTTTCAGGAATATTATGAAAGTCAAGGGCGTGCCTCCCTGGAAGCAGCGTTTCCTCCAGCCCTGTTCCTGGGTCCTCCACGGCAGGACGCAGGCACTCCTGCTCCCTCAACGGGAGGGTGCGGAGGGCTGGGACGAGAGCCCACGGCCCGAGGACCACCTTGGGCCAAGCCAGCAGAAGCTCCCGGAAAGCAATCCCCACGTGCGTTCAACGGTCTCTAACACTCCCCTTGCTTTTTGTTTCTTACAAAGCCTTTCACAGGAACTGGGGGAACCAGGACCCTAGAAAACAGACCAGGGAAACGCTGCCCGCGCCCCTCTAAACACAGCCTTTCGAACGTGTACTTACGAGAAAAACACAGGAGCCCAGGAGGAACACACTTCCAGGGCCCTTTAAAGTGTATTTCAGGAGGCAGAGGCGTGTGACAGGCCCTACCGGACTAAATGTCTGTGTGACCAGAAGGATCGGCACATGGCGTCCTCAGATGCATGCGGCCTGGGACCGGGCAGCCAGGAAGGGGCCCTCTGAGGACCCCCCGCACCCCCTCCCGCTACACCCTCACGCTCGGGGCTCCTGCCAGGACTCGGGGTAACGTGCGAACAGACACGGGCACATGGCGCGGCGGCCGCAGCCCCAAAGGGTTCCCCCCGCAGCTGGCCACGTGCTCTCCTGCATTCGGACAACCAAGCGACGTCCACGCCCCCAGCCCACCCCGAGGCGCACAGGCTGCTTGCAGGGGGCCAAGTGCTTACAAATAACAGCTTCTGAATGTGTCCGCAGGTGGGGAGACCCCTCTCAAAGACCCCTGGGCAGTCCTGCAGCCTCACCTCTGGAGTGTTCTTCTTGAACTCTCGGCTCTGCTCGATAAGCCGCTTTCTGGACTGCTCGCTTTCATCTTGCCGGTTCGCCAGGACTGTTGCGGTGGCATCGAGTTCCCTCTGTCGAGAGACACAAAGGGAAGACAAGGTTGTGATCACTGCTTCGTACCAGAGGGGATCATACCAGCATTCAACCAGGACCCAGGACAGGCCCCTCATGGCTCTGGGGGATTATCAACTCCTGGGCAGAGGAGGGGCCGGGGCCGCAGAGGGAGGTGGACACACTCGGGCAGTTCCCATCCACCCCATGGGCAGGGCCCGGAACACCAAACTCCCTCGGCTAGGCGTGCTGTGGGTCCGCGTACCTCACAAACGACTGCTTCGGGGATAAAACACGCAGAGCATTTCTCTTTGCTAAAATCGGCATTAGCCCAATGCCCCGATGTCATCTAAAACGTTTATTTTTATTTTAAGAGAGAGAAAGAGGGCATGAGCTGGGGAGGGACTAAGGGGGAGTGGAGGGAGAATACCAAGCAAGTTCTATGCTGTTAGTGCAAAGCCAGATGCAGGGCTTGAACCCACGAACTGTGAGATCACGACCTAAGCCGAAATCAAGAGTCAGATGCTTAACCCACTGAGCCACCCAGGCACCCCTCATTTCTGTTCGTAACGAGCATCCCTTCTTGCCGCGTCCCTATGCCCTGTGGACTGTGCTTTCCTCTGGGCTTCTGGCTGGGGCGTGCTCTTTGTCTCTCTTCAACAGCGTGGGCCTGGGGGCTTGTATACTGATACTTGGTTTGCTCTCATTGTTAACAGTACATATTATGGGTTTCGGACAGGCGAGGCGTCATGTCCATAACCTGTGGTTTTCAGGAGGGACCTTTACAAGGCACATTCCAAGAACAAGGACTTGCAGGATGTAGTCAACTTGGGAAATGAGGCACTTGGTAACAAGAGCTGTTCTCAAGCTACTTCCCTCGAACTGAGGCTCTGAGAGCCACCAGGGGTGGGTGCACTGTACGCAGACCTCCGCTGCCACGACTGAACAACACTCGGAGCAGCAGAGGCCCTGTGCCTTGGCCTCGGAAACTCTGGGAGGAGCTGCCAACAGGTTCCCTTTCAAACAAGCCTGCAGCAGATGGGCCCAGATCGGTGTCCCAGGCCGACAGCAGGGGCACAAGAACACGCTGCCGCAGCCACCAAGAGGCCCATTTTCTTGTTCAGCGGCCTCTTACTAAAGACACACACTGGCACATTCTGCTTAGGATTCAAGGTCACTGCTCCACGTGGCTTCTCCGGGGTATGGTCCTTCCCCTAGGGCCCAGCAGCACAAGGACCCAATCGGTGACTGCAAAGTGAGGCAAACCAGACATGGAGATCCTTCCACAGACACCCGGAAGCACGGGAGTCTCCCCCTCCCCCACCGCCGTTGCTATGAGGTTTCACCTGCTTCCCTTTACAGCGGAAATAAACCCGAGCAGTTTGCGGGGGACTCCTGGTGGGCCCTTCTCTTGTACAGTACAGGGGCTGGCCACTGCCAGACAGGACGACAGGGCACTGGAGCCAACATCCAGCATGGTGTTGACTTAGAAGTCACAGACGGTTTTTACTGGTGGGGGGAGGGGGGTGGGCGGGGAGACACTCCCCACCACACTCTCTCTCCCCTGTCGTGTTTCTGGCATTACAGCAAATCTTGAGCAAACAAGTCCAAAAGAATAACATGGGCTAGAATTCAAGAACAGACGTCAAAGCTACTGCAGAAAAGAGGGAAACACTGCACATTTTGATAGACCACATTTGAAACACATCCCAGTCGAGGGAAGGCAAGGGAAAAAAGAGCAACCGAAACGAATGTGGTAACGCGGGGATGGAGACAGGAGAAGAGAGAGCAATCGCAGATAAGCAGAAGGCTTTTCAAAAATATAAACAATCTGGTAAGGAGGAGGACTTAGACGGCTATATTTAAGCAGCAGCAGCAGAAGTTATAAAAGGAGGCTTCAAGAAGTGGGGAGAAACGCCAATATTGAAACATGACAGAAAAAGTAGAGTTGATGTTTTGTTACAATCGCCTGCAGATGCAGAAAACTTGGGAGAAAAACAAAGAGCACTGACTGCTTTCAACGGGGACCTTAATTCCCAGGGGGGGAGGTGGGGGGGGACGTCACCCAATCAGCCAGAATGGCTGAACGATGGGGGGCACAGAGGGGACAGTGGGTCCCAGCCCTGACCCCCCACGTTCCCATCTAGGGGGACAAGAGTGGGGAAGGTGGGGACAATGCTGTGGGAGACGTGGAAGGGCACGCGGTCCGTGGGCCCCTCTGTTCCTCTCCAGTCCCTGCATGTCCCGCACACTGAAGTCCGGCCCAGCCCCCAAGATCATGGGCACATTCGTCAGAAAGCCCGACCAAGGCTGAGTTTGAGACAGAACCCTTGATGGAAGGCAGCAAACCCACCTTTGTCACGGGGCCGCAGGGCCAGTGGGCCGCGGGTGACGTGCTGCTGGCAGTCGGGGACCCGCCACACTCCCTTCCCCACGCGTGCAGACATATGCAGGTCCACATGAGAAACCAACGGGGGTCTCCAGATTTAATACCGTGCCACAGCCTGCCACCCCAGAAACAGATCGGCACAGCTGAGGAGAGAGGGCTGGGCTTGCCTGGCCCCGGGGTTTGGTTGGTCAGACTTAGGGCTCACAATCTTTGACCGGGTCCCTTACAAAACCACCATGAGTCCTTCTGAAGGACACGGAGGCTTTCCACGGTTGTTGGGACAATGCAGAGAAGAGAAGGCTATTAAACATAAGCCAAATACTGTTTTATTATCCACCAGGCCTGCCTATTCTCAAAGTGTCAAATACAATGACACATTAACAAGGGAATTTAATGTGTTTAGGGGAGGTGGCGGTGGGGGCCTAAAATACAGAACCCTCAGTCCCGGAGTCACTGGTCACATGTAAAAAAAGCATGGAGGGTCCCCGCATCTAAAAGGCACTAAAAACTCACCAAGAGAAAACAAAAACCAAAAACCCAAACCTGGGAATGAATCAAAGTGTCCAAGAGCATGTTTGCATATCCACTCAAAGATCATTCTGCAACGGTAAGAAAAAGTCCTACATGGCACTGGGAGGTGGGCTGATCTTTGAGATAAATTTAAGCCAAAAGAGCAAAGTGCAAGAACAATGTGAGTATTGTTTTAAAAGAGTATCTATACATATGCTTGCATAAGCTTTGATTGTCTCCGGAAAGATACAAAAGACACTTGTAACTGCTTGGCTCTGAGAAGGCGCTGGGGGGGGGGGGGGGGACTTTCCCTTCAGTGTCCAGCTGACCCTCTGAGAACACGGGTTTGAACAGCATGGGGGCCGCTTAGACGCGGGGCTTTTTTTATAGCACAGTACTGTAAATGTATTTTCTCTTCCTTATGATTTTCTTCGTAACATTTTCTTTTCCCTTTATTGTAGGAATATGGTATATAACACACAGGACATACAAAGTATGAGTTAATCGACTATTTATGTTATAGGTCAGGTTTCCTGTCAATGGTAAGCTCTGAATAGTTAAGTTTCAGGGGGATGAAACCTTGAATGTGGATTTTTGACTGGCAGGGGTTCGGCACCCCAATTTCCCCCGTTGTTCAAGGGTCATCTTTTGACTATACTGGCCATGCGCATGCATTATTACCCAATTCAAAAAACTGTAATATGTTCATTTTTAAAGTCCTACTAACGTGAAAAATACCTGGATTGTTCTAGAAACATATTTCACATCGTGCGGTCCATATACGAGTGCTCGTGGCCCACATGTCCACCTGCCTAGCAGCAGAGGCCTGGAATAGATGACCTCTTGACTCACTCTGGTAATTCCAAAAGTGAGGCAAGCACGTCTTTTGTCAAAACAACAGCTGTTTCTTACACAACGCGCCACACACTAGCCAGCCTCCCGGCTTATGAACGAGGAGGAGGTGGCCGGTTACAGAAAACACCACTCACCCAAGCCAGCACTTTCCCGGGGAAGGGCAGAGGAGGGCATCCCCTCAAAACAATTTAGAAATATTCTCCCACTGCAAACAGCCGACAGCCCCAAGTCCAAAGTGATGGGAAGCCAGCAGGGCTGGTGCTGACCCGCGGGCTCTGAATACCCGGGCACTTCCAACTAGGCTCAAAGTGGTGGAAACTGTCCCGGGCGAGGGTCTGACAAGCACAGGCACCTGGATGCAGGATCTGCAGGCTTCTTGCAAAGTCATCACGGGGCAGCCACCGCCAGGAGGTGACGAGGCCCCGTGTGCACGGGCATATCCCCTGCTGGGAGCGGGCGGCGGTGCCCCGCGCAGCCGTGGGCACCTACAGTCATGACTGCCTCGCTGACGAGAACCTCTGGCAGGCTGCCCCTCCCATTTCTGACTGATCCTGACTTTTAACTTTCCCGATGCCTGAACTCCAGCCTCTCAACCAAGTATTAAGGATTTATCCAACACAAGAAACAGGGGCGTGTGGGTGGCTCAGTCGGTTGAGCGTTCGACTTGGCTCAGGACATGATATCAAGGTTTGTGAGTTCGAGCCCCCATTTCAGACTCTGTGATGACAGTGAGGAGCCTGCTTGGGATTCTCTCTCTCTGGCTCTGCTCTGTTCTCTCTCTCTCAAATAAATAAATAAGCTTGAAACACACACAAGAAATAAAAGTGGCCCCAAGTGCCTATTTAAAAGTAAATTTTCCCAAGTAAGACAAGTCTTAATAACCTCAATGATTACTTTGAAATTGCTCACCTTTAAAGTAGGTATGTCTGCTGTTTGTATTGAACTGGGGGAGGTCCCTGCAGTGCTTTTGGGACACCCCTCTCCTAAAGCCCTATTGCCAGGCCCACCAGGGCTCCCCATTCCCCCCAGGCCAGGGGAGGGAAGCCCTCTCCCCCAGCACCCCTGGGGTGGCTGGGAAACAGACCTGGCCAACAGCTTCAGCAAAGCAAAGAAGTATTCTCTGCTCTTTGTCTGTAACTTTAATTGAAAGAGTTCGTTCATCTGGTATTTCTTTCGGGTTTACCTGTCAAGCTAATCAGGTAGCAGATCATGTATATGAATTCAAAATGGCTTGATCAGTGAAACCCACAGGCTCATACGAAAAGG